AAAAATTTTACATTTAACAGTGTTATATCCAGTAACAGTTGATATGCATCGTCCAATATGGAGAAATAATAAAATGCTACTTTTGCAGCTCACTAGGTTTTGGATACATATCTAACTTATCTGTATTAGAGCTGTATGTGTTTTGTCTTTTCCTTGGTAAAAAAAACAACTTTTTTGTTTTAGTCATATCCTCAACAAGACACATCTCTCCAAAGCAAGAATTCTCTTCCAAACTTCAAAGTTAGTAAAATCTTCCCATGACATAGGGACAAAAAATTGATTGCGAAGCCATTTGATTGAGTTGATGAGTAAAATAAAGGTGCAAATCACCCTGGCAGGGCTTCAGGAAAGTATGCATCTTTCTAGCATTTTCCCCTGATTCCCATCCCAACATGCATGAGATAAACTTGAGAAGGCCTGGATGCAGCCCGTAAACAAGTGCTGGTCGTGTCACCTGAGTTTTGGGAAAACACGTTGCTCATTGTAGTTAAACGTCTTGTGTTGTTCTTTGCAGAGATCATCGAGGATGTCCCCAGTGCTGAAGGCACTGAAGGTCAGGGTCTCACTGTTCCTCCGGCTGCAGTCTCGCCACACAATCAGGAGCGAGAGGCTTACAAGAAGCTGGGCCTGACCAAGCAGGTTCTGGCTGCGCACACACAGAAGGAAGAGCATGCATTCCTCAGCCGCTTCAGAGAGCTGCGAGGTGTGCACGCTTTCAAAGCCGACTGCTCCCTCTATCTGGAGAGAAGAAAAGGACAAGTCGCATCGGAGGGTAAGGAAAGATTTGAGTCAAAAGCTGCACAGCACTGTGTTCTTTTACACGTGAGCAGCTCATGATCCTGTGTTTTCAGTGTCTTTGAGCGACTCGGTTCACAGTAAATGCTGTTCCACACAAATACATCTCTGCAAATGTGCTCTGAGTTTATAATGTGTCGTTTATAACATGCTTTTGGGAATGCAATGTGCGCCTACCATCATCCAAAACATGTTGTGAAAAATACCTGATCATTTAATAAAAACAATATCAATATAATCTGATCATTTAAAAATAAAAAAATTAAGACAAGCCATAAATATTAGTATTGCAATTTTATAGTTATTCTGAATTTTTATATTATTTTTCTTACAAAAATAAGGGGCAGTCGTGGCCTAATGGTTTGAGAGTCGGGCTTGTAACCCAAAGGTCACGGGTTCGAGTCTCAGGTCCGGCAGGGATTGTAGGTGGGGGGAGTGAATGTCCAGCGCTCTCTTTCATCTTCAATACTACGACTGAGGTGAGACCCTTGAGCAAGGCACCGAACCCCCAACTGCTCCCCGAGGGCGGCAGCAAAAATGGCTGCCCACTGCTCCGGGTGTGTGTGTGTGTGTGTGTGTGTGTGTGTTTGTTCACTACTCACTGCTGTGTGTGTGCACGTGGATGGGTGAAATGCAGAGCACAAATTTAGAGTATGGGACACCATACATGGCCATTCTATATATAATAATAATAATAAACCTCATAATAATTAATATTATTATTACATTATTAGTAAACATAACATTAATTATTATTACTATATTACTTATTCTATTACATTTTATTATTTTACAGTCATATTATATAATAACATATAAAGCTTATTTGTTTATTCCAATCACAATTTGTTTTGTTCTTTGATTGTAAATATAAAAAAAAAATTTCAAAGTAGTTTTTACATGATTTAAGTTGATAATTGTTGATCAGTTGTTGTTGATAAATAGTTGATAAATCTTTCTCTGCAGCTGTTCCCGCTGCTCGTTCCTGTAAGCAGGGTGGTGGCGGCGCACAGGAGACCACCGGGACCCGCCGGGGTCGCAGCAAGAAGACCAAGTCCAAGCGGATCAAGCCAAGCGAGTCTTCTGACAGCACTCCTTCAGGCCGTAGACCTTCACCCAGACCTCAGCTGCAGGGCCTCAACCAGACCTCCTGGTCTCCCTCAGACACATCCCAATCCACCTTCCCCATCGCCTATCCGGCTGTGATGCCCACGTACCCGCTGCAGATGTACCCGGGAGCCGGCGGCATGCAGCCTAGGGTAGATGCTCCGCTCTCAGGCTTTGGGGAGAGTCAGTGCAGCCAGGATCCGCACATCCCCATGCAGCCCATCCAGACACCGTATTCGGCTCCTCTGGTCACGCCCATGGTGGCGCTGGTACTGCCCAACTACATGTTCCCACAGATGGGCGGCGCTCCACGGCAGCCGTTCTACCCCAAGCAAGGAAGTTTCCCCACACAGCCTACCTTTCAACCTCAGCCTAGTTTCACCGCACAGGCGCCATTCCCTCCACAGACTCCATTCCCGCCACAGCCGTTTCCGTTCGCGTGTCCCGAGGAGCCCCCAAAACTGCCGGAGCCCGAGCTGAGGGAGGAGCCTTCACGAAGCCCCACCCCTCAGTCCGGGGGTGGAGGCGGGCCGCCGTCTCCGCCTTTGTTTCAGTCACGCTGCAGTTCGCCTTTGCAGCTGAACCTGCTGCAGTTAGAGGAGACTCAACGCTCTGCTGAGAGGCAAGAGAGCACGGCGCCATCTGTTGTACCACAGGCCAACTGCAGCAGTAGTGTGGAGAAAGCAACTGACAAGGATGTGCCACAGGTTGGAAATCTTATTACAGTGCATTTTTGACCAGTTTTTTTTTTTTTTTTTCATAATTTTCTTACTCTCGCATCTTATACTTTCATTTTGCCTGAATGTATTCAAACAACACAAAACAGAAAAACTAAAATGCAAATCTTTGGTTTGACCAACAGGTGGCAGTTTTTGCTTTTTTTAAAAAGCAAGACGATCCGAATTTAAGCTTTACATCTTGATGCAGTCACATTAGACTTTAAGCATAACAAATTATAACATGATTATTATTGCAAAAGTAATATCTGTATTTAAAAAAAAATTATTATAATAAATAACAATGAATGTGAAAATTATATACCAAACATGCAGCTGAAAAGTTTGTATTCTTTACATTAGGCCTTAAGCATGCAAAATTATTTAGGATCCTCCAACAATATACAATGTCACACTTGCATCTGTATTTAAGATAATAGTAATAAGAAATTCTGAATGAATGAATGAATGATAATAATAATAATAATAAATTGTTATACCATCTTCACTTTTTCATAATGCTACAGACCAAGCTGCTTAAAATTTAGCATTCTTCACTTTAGGTTTTTAAGCATGCAAAGGATTATTTAGGATTCCTTGACAGGATATGATGTTATATGTTTAATAAATAAATAAATAATACATTAAAAGATACTACTTTCACTTTCTCATAATGTTACAAACCATGCAGCTTAAAACTTTATATTCTTTGTATTGAGTCAAGAGGTTATTCTGGACGTTTTGATAATTTACTATATGATTTTTTTATATACAGCTGGTATGCAGGGGATATAAATGAGCAATTAAACAACTATGCAGTTATGTTTATAGATGTGAGAATAGCTGCCACGGGGCTTACATGTGAATTGAAGGCATTTAGATTCAAAGTGATTTAAATGCTTTACTTAACATTGGTTTGGTATTGGAAAATCTGTATTCATTGTTTATATAAAAATAGAATAAAATTTATTTTGTTCTGTATTTTTGTTGTTTTTTAGGATGAAGGGTCACCTGTCGACGGTCAGTATAGCGATGCGTTCTCATCATCTAGTGACCTGCTGGACATTCTCCCAGAGGACTCGCGCTCTGGCACCGGCTCTGCCACCTCGGGCTCCATGGGCTCTGGGTCTAACGGCTGTGAAACGTCTGCTAGAGGCGGGTCTGCCAGCAGAACTGGTGAGTTTAGAAATGTATAAATCTTTATTTTTTTTATAAAAAATTTAAATTATTTCTGATCTGTCCGTTGTAGTGTACACAAGCAGGGCTGTTACTACACATTGCCAATTTATTGAGTCTTGATATCGATTTTGATGCTGACAGTCCTTTATTTAAATCATTAAAGATTCTTATCTTTTTTGATTAATATTTTTATTGACCAAAGACACATTAAATTAAGCATTAAAGTGACAGTAAAAACATGTATGATGTTACAAAGGATTTCTATTTCTAATAAATGCTAGAACATTCGATTCATCAAATAATCCTGTAAAAATGTATCACGGTTTCCACAAAAATATTAAGCAGCACGACTGTTTTCAACATTGATAATAATCAGAAATATTTCTTGAGCAGCAAATCAGCACATTAGAATGAAGGATGATGTGACGCTGAAAACTGGAATAATGAAATTACACTTTAAAAAATGTATACTTTAAAATATATTTAAATAGAAAGTGGTTATTTTAAATTGTAATGATATCTCACAATTTTTACTGTATTTTTTTTATCAAATAAATGCAGCTTCTTTCAAAAACATTAAACGGTCTTACTGACCCCAAACTTTTGAATTGTAGTGTAAATATTTATACATTTGATTAAATCAAGGGCACGGTTACCTTTATTGTATTTCTCATGTAGATTTTCTTTTTTTTTTTCTTTTTTTTTCGGTAGCCAATCTGTAATAATAAACAAAAGCTCAGTTGTGAACGAACATTGTAAGATCTATAAGGCTGCATTCACCATGGGAGGACACAGGTATTTCTATACAAATCTGATTTTATTTGTCCCACCTTTTTATGACGGCCGACTGTGTTAATAATGCCTCGTTAATAAGGGGCTTTCTACCGCAAAAATGCATTTGACTGTCTGGCAGTCAGATCAGTCCTACACATGCAGTAAAAACATGATCATTGTTATATATCCTGACATTGTTTTATGCAACCACACAAAAGCAATCCCAAAAGAGGAAGAACCTCATATTCTAAACCCACAATAAACAACATGTGCCAAAAATGTTTTTCCCACTTCCTCTAAATTCTTGTTTGATTGCTCCAATACAGAATTTCCATTATAAACCTGTGCTGTTAAAAAGGTCCACTTCTCTCATCACTCTTTCTGCTCTTTTTTTTTTTTTTCTTCCTCAGGAAGCAGCAACACAAGCAACAACAGCAGTAACTACTTCGCCAGTGTGGATTCTTCCCAGAAATCCCATAAGGCCACGGGGCAAGGCTCTGGTTCGGGCTCTGGGTCGCTGGATGGGAGTGAGACCCTGATCAAGTATGTACTGCAGGACCCACTGTGGCTGCTCATGGCTAACGTGGACGAAGATGTTTCATACCAGTTACCATCTCGGTGAGTGGGCGGAGACAGGAGAAATAGACCCCCCCACTCCACTACTAGTAAAGCCCGCTTACCAGTAACCAACCCCCCCCTTCCTACCCTTCATCTGTAGAACTGTGTTAATAGAATGATAGAGTCTAGAAGAGGAAGTCTTTTACCTTCCTGTCAGCTTGACCCACAATCGATTTTCAAACTGCTTGAAATACTGGTTAAACAAATTCCTGTATATAGGTTTTAATCTTTTATTGTATTTTGACATGGTTTTCACCATGAAAATAATCATGGATGCTGACTTGACACTAAATTACAAACATCTTTTTCCCTTTTGCAGTGACATTGAGAAGGTTCTAAGGGAGGACAGGGAGAAGCTGCGGCAGATGCAGAAAAGTCAGCCGCGCTTTACAGAAGAGCAGAGGAGAGAGCTGGTGGAGGTGCATCCCTGGATGAGAAGAGGTGGGCTGCCCAAAGCATTCGACGTCAAGGTCTGTTATATACACTGATATATACTGAAGTCAGTTTTTAATGCATTAACGGTGTTCTTATTTTGATGCATGGAAAGTATACACTACAAAAATACAGAAAAAAACGTAATATTGTGAAATATTAATGCAAAACTGAATTTTCAGCATCATTTTTCCAGTCTTCAGTGTCACATGATCCTTCAGAAATAATTCTAATATGCTTGGTGCTCAAGAAATATTTATTATTTTTTATTAATATTTACAGAAACATTATCGGTGTTGAAAACAGTTTAATGTTTAATAAAACTAATATTTTTGTAAGATTTTCAATCAATTTAATGCATCTTTGCTGAATAAAAGTACCGACCCCAAACTTTTAAAAAGTAGTGTAAATATTTGAGTGTGTATGTGTTTGCATTTTATTTTATACATATAATATTAATATTATTTTTTTAATTAATCAGTAGAATTAGAATTAAATGCACAATATGTTCAATTTTTTTAAATAATAACTGCATTGAAAAATATTAAGGTGGTAAAATGTAATCTGAATTTCTTTCCCAGCATTTTCTTAATTGTAGAATACAGGAGGCTACTTCACATTAAAGAAGTAAAATGGCTTTCAAACTCTATGCAGACTAATAAGAGTGTTTATCTGCAGGCGTGTGTTGGCTGTGAAGAGGTCAGTGAAACCCTGACAGAGGAGGATCCACCAGATCTGCACATGGGAGAAACAGAAAGCGGTGATGTCACGGCGCCTCCGGCCAATAGCAGTGAAGACTCTATGCACTCAGAAACACATGGCTTTCTCGAACCTGTCACCTGAACTGAACCCCTCTTTCCACCTGTAAGAATACAGACCTCTTCTGATCGGACAAAGCAGACATTTTAGCATCGAAAGATGCTCCTGCCGCAGCCTCGGACCTTCACGAAGACTCGTTCTGTTGCTCGTCTGTGTGAATGTGTTTGTGTGAATATGTACAGATGTGTAAATACATGAATGAGTGAGAGAATAAATCAGAGTGAATTAATTATTTCCAGACAGTCTAAACTGTCTCTAAAGCCAGACTCTGAGCTGTTCAATGACCATTACTGTTAGATTTTAATATTAAGGAATAATATTTCCTTTTCAGTGTTTCCCTGACAGTTTTTTTTCACTTAATGTGCATATACACATACTAACTTATTTCTTCTTTACAACTTAAAAAAAAAAGAAACTATTTTACTTTTTTTTTTTCTCTTTTGAATAGGCGTATAAGCTCTTGAAACAGTTCTTCTGGTGTTTGATATTTGTGTTATTGGATATGTTTCTGATATCCTTTCAAATTCACAATTTAACACTGAGGACTTGTAGTTTGTGAGCTGATGTATTATTTATTAAACAAGGACAGATGGAACGTGCTCTACATAATTGGCACAAACCAAGATAACTTAGTCGTGTCACTTTGCTTTAGCACTGGCAGCTTATTTGATCAGATAGTGAGTGCGTCGAGTGCATTAGTAGCATTAGGTGAATTTATGTGAAAAGTATTTCAAGCTAAAGAGTTTAGGTGCTGTTGTCTTGTTCAGACTGGCTGTCTGATGGTCTGTTGCGATGTAGTACCTCAGTGTTAAATTTCTCCTCTTTTATAAGCCCTAGATTGAATCTACACAGACAGAAGTTTTGATCTCACCGAGAGTCCCTACCTTAACCTGTGAAAACCTGCTGTACCATAAATCCCCAGCACAAAAACACCTTAGGGACATATGGGCAGAATGAGATTTCAATAGCAGGTTCAAAGATAACACTAATGTGGAGGTCAACTTGGCCTCTTAAGCCTTTAATGTCGAGGAAAAAACTTTTAGCCCACGTTGTGAATAAATGTGCTTGTGTTCTGTCACTTTCGAACTTGTTACTATACGGTGTTCCTTCATGCTGAAGTGAATTTGAATTAAAGTCTATTTTTTAAAAATGTGTGTTTCCTCTTGTTATATTTAAAACACAATGTATAGCATATGTGAGGTTAGATAAATTAAACCGCTTTTTGGTAAATAATTCAGATTAGCATGCCTTATGCATTTTAAAATGTGCATTTCTTCTTACATTTATATACATAAGTTGTTACTTTAAATGTACCACTGCATCTTCCAGCACGTTTTCATGTATTGTGATCATGAAAAATGACATAAAATTGGAATTTAAACTGGAATTAAATAGCCCTGATCAGTTTTTTACATACAAATAGTCACATGAAACAATCAATCTTGGATTTTATTTGAATTTGACAGACCCCTCTGTCTATAAAGCATATTTGCTTTAAATAAAATGTATGTAAATTTATATAAAAATTAGATTTAGCTATATAAACTGCTTTTCACTTGGCAACTCAAAAAAGCAATCCTAATTATTTTATCAAACATTGCAAATAAATGTAAAAAAATATATTTTTTTTATTTAAAACAAAAACAAAGTAAATCAGAGGAATGTAAATTCCTATTCTCAGTATTTTGTTGTTCTGATAATCATTTGAGTACAAGCCAGTCCTGCGCAAATGGACCGTTGGAGCTGAGGGGCCCTTTCTGCGCCATATGTTCAAAGTCAGACGACCGTTACAGCAGTTTTTTATTATTATAATACAGCGCACATCCGACGCACAGCTTCCCTTCATGTGATCAGACTCCACTCGCTGCGCGCCAGACAGGGGTTTGTGCCTCCACACATGAAAGACGCGCTAGTTCCTCTCCTTCACACCTGCGCCAATTTGAGTACAAGGTGTGAATGGTTCCTTCAGGCCTCCTACCAAGACAACAACCGAAAATCCGGCCCCGATCCGATGAAAGCAGAGCTAATACAACCTGTCAACAGTCTGCGAACATTATATGTGGATTTAAAAGAGTTAATACGTATTTAATTTACATCAAACGATGATTTATATTAACTAAGACACTGAGCAGATCTTAAAACTATCCATGTAGACAACTCAACTTTAATCAGACATTGCTACTTTTTCTGTCAGCCGCTATTAGTTGCGGCTTGCAGGCGCAGGCCTAGTACAGTTACCGTCCTGAATTTAAAAATAAACCTCCATAATGGTTTTGTGGTAGGATATGTTTAACCAATGTAATGGAACTAACGTGCTATTTCTTTTTTGTCGACGTGACTGAAAACCGCGCGAATACAGTAAGTTGTGTGTGAGTGAGTGTGTGTGTGTGTGTGAGTGTAATGAGTGTGTGTGTGTGAGTGAGTGAGTGAGTGTGTGTGTGCGTGTGTGTGTGTGTGTGTGTGTGTGTGTGTGACCTCACACAATATGTTACTTTTTGGTGGTTACTGAACCGTTATATGTTACGTGTAGGCTATTACATTACCCTTGTAACTGCTATATTTTAAGCTAGACTTCATCTGAAGTCGTCAACCCCATCCCCTGGAAAAGTCATTTGAATTAACTTCATTTTTCCACGTACATTTCTATAGTAAATATATTTTGTTGTATGATTAGATTGAACAGTTACGGTACGTCAAACGTTACGGAACCCACGTAACGGACGTAAGGTTGCCGGTTTTACGATCTGTCCCTTACCATTACAACCATAGTTTCCGCCAAAATGTCATTATTAAATCTAAACTGCAAACATCTATTTTTGCTTTGCTTATTTTCTATGGCAGATTTGAGCAGTAACACGTATAGTCTACACAGCACCACACGACACCTTACACAGTGCCAGCCATTGTGTCTGCGCTGACGGTTAACCGTGACTGAGGCGTTACGTTTTACACGTCTGGAGGGCCAGAGCACCCAAAGCGGACGTTCACACTTTCCGAAATAATAGAAAAGGTGTGATAAAACAATTTACATACTCTGGTTATTTCATCAAAGCAATTGCAACTGCCTAAAAACGGCATAGCATCTGCTCTTGGTCAATCCCGAGAAAAGCCTCAAATTCGCGTTACCGTAAAAAGAACATGAAACTCTTTACAGTGAGGAAATCAAAACGTTTTATTGAAATCACAATCACATATAACACACATTAAATGTCAGTACATTTTTACAAAATTACTTCATCATAATGATAACATAGGCTAAATCTTATTTTTTTATGTCAGAGATCTATATCTACAGCCACAACATTTAAATATTTACACCCTATAGCCTACAATAATTAGAGATGGGAAAACACTCCCTAGAAATATTATTTATCCTTACAGAGTTGTTTTAACTTAGCTTATACAAAAACAATTAAATAAAAATACGAACTCTTGTGTGAAACTGAACTGAAATGCACATTGTTGCACCAAGAAGCGCTTCTGAGGGGTATCAACGGGTCGACCCTGGAGCACAAAAGCAGTCGTAAGTAGCACGGGGATATTTGTAGCAATAGCCAGAAATAGCTGTATGGGTCAAAACGATCGATTTTTCTTTTATGCCAAAAATCATTAGGATATTAAGCAGGCCTAAAGATCATGTTCCATGAAGATATTTTGTAAATTTCCTACCGAGAATATATCAAAACTTAATTTTTTGATTAGTAATATGCATTGCTAAGAACTTCATTTGGACAACTTTAAAGGCGATTTTCTCAAATTATTATTATTATTATATTTTATTTTTTTGCACCCTCAGATTCCAGATTTTCAAATAGTTGTATCTCAGCCAAATAATGTCCTTATTTATTCCGCTTTGAGATGATGTATACATCTTATCACTGGTTTTGTGGTCCAAGGTCACAAATGACAAAAAAAACGTTGCAGCTGCCCTATTCCTATATATGTAGAACTGTCCATGGTCTGTCAGAAAGGTGCTCCTGGACTATTGCATGTCTATATAGCTCTAAACTAAAATATACTGTTCATGAATCAGCTGGGATCTCCAGAAGCATCTGTCTACCAAGGTCTCCACATGGACTTGGAGAGATGCACGGTTGGCACGCTTGGCGCTTGTTCCCTGGCGTCCACCGAGACTCGGCTGTGCTCCGTGTCCGTGTCATCCAGGTCAGAGCAAAGGTCATCGCTGGAGGTGGTGGAGGGGGCCGGGGACAAGACTGAGGAGCCGCTGCTGACCACGCTCCTGTCTCCGGGCGACAACGCGGCGTACGTCGCCTGGCCAGGCCAAGTGCCACAGTTACTAGAGTCCGACAGGAGATCTGACAGGATGTCCTGAAAGCGATCCTCGTCGTCAGCAGGTCGGCGGCGATGGTCGCGTCGATTCCCGGACAGCTGGACACGAAGGTGTGCACCTCATGCATGCACTGGATGTATCCCGCGGCGAACCGCTCGTTAGCTTCGCGGTCCGCGCTGTCAGCTTCTGCAGAGGAGAAAAGCGGCGTGACGTCACGACCGAAATACACTCGCTGCGACTCGGGGTGTTTTTTAAAGGCAGGCCTGTATGAAACTTGATAACAGCTCTTCTTACCCTTCGCTTTGTTTTGCAGGATACTTTCCACGCGCTTCACGGTCATTTCCAATACCTCGGCGTTCTCCATTTTTACCTGCGCCTAAAATAAATAAATAAATAAACAGCGACGTTAAGACTGTCTTTGCGCTGTATGTTGGTGCTGGATACAGATGCTTGAAGAAGTGCTAAATAAGCTTACATCCGGGTCGGCTAGCAGTAGCCTCAGCTCCTGTAAACTTTCATTGATGCGGGCGCGTCTCTTTTTCTCCACCAGCGGCTTCCTCGTCTGAAGAGGGAGAGAGAATGCGTTTAACTTGTGGAAAGCGTCGATAAACGTTTGCTTGTGGGATTAAAAAGACGCGTTGCGTACCTTTCTGTCTTTTATTCCGAAATAGTCCTCCTCGTGTCTGTTGCTGCGGGACGCGGGGGCCATATTGCTGCAGTATAGAGAGAGAGACCACTGAGAGGACGCCTGAATGGGGGGCAGATGGTCGGCGGGTTCAGTTCGAGACAAAAGTCTGTGCTAACAAGCACTACATATACTGTGCAAAGTGGGCGATTGAAGGGGGACATTTATGAGGGCTGATTTACATGTGAATGGACTGACTGGTAACCAATCAACAGCCTCGCCTTTGTCTGGGCACTGTAAACCAACCCGCCCTGTGAACCTGTAGATGGACCAGAGAACAGTTTAGTGAATAAAATTAAGTTCAACTGCACTGAGTACCTAGATAGATAGATAGATAATGTCATACTGTCCTTGAGTCAATTAGTTCGAATAAGTTATTCAGAGAAAAATCAATATCCTGACATTAACCTTAAAAAATATATATATTACATATGCCTATATATTATATTTTCAACTCAGTTTTCTTCAAATTAAGTCAATTTCCTATTTTTGGTCATAAAAACTGCAATAATCTAACTGCAGGTTTTAACTTGGAACCAATTTATTCATATATTTTTACTTAAAAAATCAACAAACTTAGGTCTTCGAGTTTAGAGGGTTGAAACTTCATGTTATCTTGTAAATTATAGTCAGGATGAAACTCTTCAAAAAGGTACTTAGAGAGATGGAATGGGAAGGGACTTCAAAAAGGATCGAACTAAATCAGAAAAATAAATGGCAAAGACACAATCAGCCAGAGGCTGGTGGTTTTTATGCATTACACAATAAAATAATATTTTACCCCAATATGACAATTACAGAAATTTATTATTTATTTTTGAACAGAACAAAAGTGCGAAATCTACTGGAATTGAGTTCACGTGCACCGCATCATTTCCATCAGTTTACCAGTGTGCAGTTTATCAGTTTATGTGGGACATCATCACAGTGCTTTATTATGAGGCCATCTATGAAGGTACATATGAATGTAATGCAAAGCATATGAAAAGGTGCTGATATTTAACATTCATATAAGCCTACTGAAAAATAAACTACACATTTAAGTCAGTCATAAAGGCTGCTACGTCAGATAGCGAATCGCATTATTTTAGTGAATAAAAGAAAGCAAATTAGTCACGTGCTTTATTACATTTAATGAATATATGTAATATTTTATATTAGGCCTACATTTCAT